CCAAAATTTTACGACTTATAACAGGAGCTGTCTGGTACGTCAACAACAAAACTTTACGTAGCGACTTACGACAACCAACTATAGACCAACACATACTTACTATATACTCTTGTTTTTATCTTAAACTACACGGACACACAGACTTTTAAACGACATGGTTACGACTGATATGCCCATCAGGAGACTAAAAAGGAGCTGAATAAGAGATCTTCTCACCTAAATCAAATCATTCCTTACTATCCTTCCTCAAGCCTATAATTCTAACCTTATCATCACAACACATCTGCTGATTGCCAACACCATGACAGTTGCGGATAAACAGTTAAAGATAAAAAAAAAAAACTTTCCAAGAGGAAATACAAAAATATAAATAAAACTTGTAAAAACCTAACCTGTTTTGAGTGTTTCACAAAATTTGATATTTTGTTAAAAAACTTACCATTCTTTGGGAAACCGCTCAGGATTAGTTTAATACGAGTGTGTGTGTTTGTGTGTGTGTGTGTGTGTGTGTGTGTGTGTGTGTGTGTGTGTGTGTGTGTGTGTGTGTGTGTGTGTGTGTGTGTGTTTAATGTCATTTAGAACATGAGTACTTTGATGAATAATCGGCAGTAGATGAATACTTCGAAATAAACATGAAATTTATTTATGATTTGTAAAACCGCTTAATCGTTTAATAAATCAGCTGTAAACAACGTAAAAGAAGTGTTTGAAAAAACATTGAGCGTGTTAAAAACATATTTGTATATAATTATATTAATATTATAATTATTTTTATATATAATGACATGTAAAATGAAGATGGAATTCTTTCAAATAAATGAAATGAACAATACAAACATAGTTTAAAAAAAGAGTATGGTATAAAACTCAAAGCAATATAAAGAAATATATATATTTATAATTTCAGAATATATGTGAGATCTAGAAGTATATTATGAAATAGGCAAGTTTATAATATTTTTATAACAAAATACAATGAAAATACTCATTTATACTGAAGTAGTTACTTATATATATTATTTTCTATCGTAACGGGGTCAAATTAAAGTCTCCAGAAGAGCGTTTTGGTAGCTACTGACAAACCCTGAGAAAGCAACAAATAAATTAGGAAAAATAACTAAATTTTTGGAATGAGATACAAATTAAACCAATAAATCTAGGTGTCCAAATATATGAACGAATAAAAAGACCAATGTATATCGAACGATGAAAAAGAGAATCAAACTACTAGATTGCCTGGAAAAGGAGAAACAAGAGACACAACAAAAAAAAAAGCGATCATGTAAAGGAATGGATAAACCAATAAAAAAATTAAAAAACGGTCTGAGAAATTTAGTTTGTCTTCTATATAAATAGAACGAAGATTTTCTTACTTAGATGTATATTATGTAGCCTTTTATTTCATTTATTAATTTATATTAATATTAACTAACATATCTGATATGTTGCTAACAGATACAGGGTCACCTTCATTGATTGTCATTATTATTTTAAAGAAAAATTACTGAAAATTTTTGGACATAATCCAGAAAGGAGAAAAGTTGTAAGAAGTATAAACATGCACTCTAATAATTTCGTGATGAAAAGTAATCAATTCAAGAAAAAATTACTGATATCGGCTAGATTTGAATACGACTTCACCATAAATATGGAAAAATAAAATAATATTTCGGATGTTTAAGTTTTAAAGAAGAATATAAAAGAGCTGGATGAGAGACCTCCTCACATGAATGAAGGAAGTAACCAATGATCAGGAAGAGCTGCAGCTATCCTTCCTCATGTCTGTAACGCCAATCAATTAATTTACCACGAATATATGAAGTGAAAAAAAAGTGAAGAGATGTCCATGTCTACTTTCTTGAACCGTAATCAAAAGCTGTTTTAAGATTCGGACTGTCAATGATTATCAGATGAAAAATTTCTCTTGTACTTAGAGACATTATACACTTGAAAAGGGATCATTTAAGTGATATAAGAACGGTAGACTTCTCAGATAATATTTTTAATTATATTAAGTTTACATATAAGGAGCTTGATTTCTAACAGCAAGATTTCCTCCAGATTAGGTCTCTGCGAAATATGTTAATAATTACGTCTATATCTTTTTCTCCTGGAAAAACACCTATACAAATTTGTACTACGTTCCCGTTTAGTTGGAGAAGTTTTTTATTTGGCTTGAAACATTTCTTTAACCAAGGGTTTAACGTTTCTAAAGATCTCAACGAAGCTCTCTCTAAATAAACCATCCTCTTGGTATATAACTGTAACATTTTTTTTTCTATCAATCCAGTTACTTGATATTTCGGAGAGGAATAAATTGTTGAGGAATTTTTCTCGACAGATCTGTATGGTCTTTTGGGGCACTGAATCAGAAAATCCAGTCATAGACTAGACTAGATTTGAATATGGATTCGCCATAAACCTGGCAAAAAAACAACAATATTTTGTATGTTATTTCATTTTTTCGATCATAATTAAAAAAACAGCTAGAAAAAAAATAAATAAAGCTGATAAAATTTCCTTAAATATAATACTAGAACCAGTTTGCTAGCTTTTTTTCGTTTCGCTAGAGAACGCCAAAGATTGACCATAGTTTTCAAGTTATCCAAAAACTTCATATTTCAAAGCCTTGCGGTATACAGTTTTATATATATATATATAGACATATATATTTGTGTGTATAGACCTCAGAACTCGAAAGCGGTCAGTACTTCAAGGATTCAGTGCTTGAACCACGCCCTGAAGATGACCCACATGTTTGGGTTGAAACGTTGACAAAAATAATATTTTTAAAAATACTGCATCCTGAATATTTATCATATATATATATATATATATATATATACACACACATATATATGTATATATATATTTTTTAATTAGGAGTTTCCACTAATAGTGGGTTCCTTTACCATAAGTGCTTGGATGGCTTCTTTTCATAATGTCGTATATATCTAAGATCCATTTTTCCGTAGACCATGACCCATTATCTCCTCCGCTTCGTTGTCCCAGGTCTTCCTCGTCCTCTTCTTTTCCTAGTTTGGTGGTCTTCTTTCGGTAGTTCTCCTTCAGGCATTTGAAAAGAATGGCATACCACTTAATTCGTCGTAATAAGATCGTAATCTCACTTTATCCATTCTGGATATTCCCGCCGCTCGTCTTCAGTAGTCCATTTCGGTGGCTAGAAGTTTCTTCCTGAGGTTGCTTTTTATAGTACGAGTTTCTGACCCATATACCCCCATACGTCATTATGCTCAGTACTATACTATTGTAGATTATTTTTTTTTTTTTTGGGGACAATGTTCCGGTTACATAATACCGAGTTGAGCATTGATATGCTGTTTTTGCCATCTGAAATTTTTCATTATGTTTCATCATCACATGCATATATATATATATATATATATATATATATATATATATATATATACTTATTGAATATTTAATAGTTGATAGTTGTATTATAAAAGAAGGAGATGGTACGGAGTGGCGGTCATAAATAGGCTTAATAGTTTTGCCACTATTTAACCTATTTATGACCCCCGGATCATCTCCCTCCTTTGTGTAAACTTATATTACAGTCCCATGAAACACTTACACCTATATATTGATAGAAATATTGTAAAAAATAAATAGTTTAATTTATATTCCATTGTAAACATATTAATATAATATATTCTTATGTTATGTTATATGTTCTTTTCTGATTTTCTATTTCTTGATGGGGAGGTATACGGTGACTTCTGGTGTAGGAAATGTTCATATTATAGAGGAAATTTTCACATGTATAATAAACATACTATTATGAAATATTATATGTGAACATGTTACATTGACATATTGAGAAGAAACTTTACAGAAATTTCAGAAAATATGGAGTTAAAAAACTCCATATAACATATAACGACCCTATATCAACGATCTTACACAAATTTAAACGGACATAATAACAGACTTATAAGAGACATGGCCACAGCTGACATGAGAACATGAGCAGGAGACTAAAAAGGCGTTGGATGAGGGATCTCCTTCCTTAGACAACCTAAGTAATTGGAAAAAGTTAGGGAAGAGGTACTGCTGAGTACTTTCCTTCCCCATGCCTGTCATGTCATTTTATCATTATCGCCATCACATCTGCTGATTGTTAACTTAATGTTGACAGGCACAAAATACATATTTAATAGACAAAAAAAAAAAAAAAAAACTGTTCTAGAAAACAATACTTAACATTGATTTTTTAAACTTATTTATTAAAAATATTACAATCTGTCTCAAGGACCATCATTGAATTATAGAATTATGTGGGGATGTTTCGTATTTTTGCTGTAATATTAATTATTAACGGCAGATAATGCTCGTGGACAAGCAATTTCTCCTATACTCATGGAATTCGTAATGACGATTTAATTTAGAAAAATACTTTTGACCATTCCTACAGAGGATTTGTTTCAATAAACATTTTGGAGGGTAAGAAAAAAAAAAAAAATTCCTACAGAGGTAAAATTTATTAAACATATACGCGTTGATGATACGATCATTGAGTGTCCCCGTCGCCCATTTAAATTTACGAAATATCTTAATGTGCAACAACACATCAAATTTACAATGAAGATTGAGCAAGACAATTCCATTACTTTCTTGGACCCAAAAATTTCCATCAAAATTTATTTATTTGAGTTTTGAAATATTTAATGAGACGTTAAAAATCGTCCCGATTCTTGGCCACAAGTCAGTAAATCTTAAAAAATCCATACTGCTCTTTCTGAAAGCATTAGTACATTGTGTATTGAAATATATCCCTTTTTAAAAACAGTCTTAATAGACAAAAAATATATTAATCACATTTACTTATTTTTTTTATATTTAAATTTGAAACAACATTTATGTAAAATATATAAATAACTAATTGCTAATTTGACAGACATATGAATAAATAATTAATTAAAAACCATGAATAACCTAAAACATGTTGGGGTAGGTACATATACATTAATCCTTACTTCTTCTTTTGCGTCTTCCACGTCATCATTGAGGCTTTCAACATCTGATTGGTCAACTTCTATACACAAGCTGAAACATTACACAAATTAATTATAAACTAAACAAAATATAAAAAGTTAGAGGAGGTACTGATGTAACTGATAATAACTGTAATTATATTGGGTTTGAAATTGGAATATTGTATTTGAATATTTTTTAGTCAAAACTGAAAGACTCAAGGAAGAAGTTAAAAATAGTATACCTATTTTTTAAAGTTTGCATATAATTTTAAAATGTATATTTTTAAATTTATTATATAAATTATGTATATTTTTATTTTTTTTTTAATGTAAGACCAGACCAGCCTTAGCAGATGGTTTCTCAGGGGTCATTAATTCGCTCCACTTTTATAGATCATATACACACACGACATTCCTAACAGCGCCGGAACATTACAGCGACTTACGCAGACGATACAGCAATTCTGTTATGACATAAAACTCCTACCCACGCCTCACAGACTTTACAAAATCATACAACAAAACTAAACGGTTGGTGCAACCTTTGGAAAATGCGACTCAACCAAGAAAAATCACAACAAATTACTGTTATTCTTACACGTGAAACAAGTCCTCTAATTTTTTTTTTTACAATGCTGAAATTTCGAAAACAGATCAAAGAGAATACCTTGGACTGACATTCGACAGAAGAATGACATATCAACAAAAAAATAAAACAGTTAAACATCAAACTACGAATAATATACTCACTTCTCATAAGACTCTCAAAATTAAAACAGAAACTGAACACCTACATTTATTTATTCAGTAAAATCTATATGGACTTAGGGTTCTCAAATACGCCAAAACGACCCACATACGAAAACTACAAACATTTCAGTCAGAAACTTTTAGGACTCTAAAGCTACATGGTTCGTCACAAACATTACTTTACATAAAGATCTAAACATGAAAACAGTTAACGACCACATACGGACCCAATACAAAAAATTCACAATAACTTACATGGACATACTAACACACTGATACAAGACATGACCTGATTAACATGCCCGAAAACACGTGTCGGAGGCTCAAAAGAAGCTAGATGAAGATTTCCTCACCTATAAATACATTTAAGTAAAGAAGGGTACTCCTATCCCTCACGCCGATCAAGCCACTACTAGTTCGGTTTTTGAGCACTGGAGGATATTCATACATATGGAGGATATTTATTATCACTTGATAATGTAGTAATATTATGTAGTCTTATTTTGTGTTTACGTGATCAATGAAGCATAGCATATTTGGTAGGAAGTTCACGAAATTTTTCAAAACATCGAACGTTCTTCATAGGAAGTGTTGTTCAGATAAAGTCTAGTATCATATATTTCACGGCACGGTATACTGCATTTGTCATCTACTGATTTTTCTAGTTCGTCATAAAAAGAACTCTTTATAGTATCTTCAATGGGTTCTGTCGGTACATACAGACTAAAAATATTATAACTGAAAAACTTTTCTGCTAACATTAAAACAGCAATATGACAACAGCCCACATATTTCAACTCTGTCCCTTTAACGTAATTGGATGAAATAAAGGAATCGCGACACCTTTCAATCGCTTTGGAAAACGATAATAGGGTGGGATGGAGTAATGAACTTAAATGCCAATGTAATTTTAATAGAAGAGATAATACGAATAAAACAAAATCATAATTTATATTATTTTCAATACCACAAGGGTTGTGGATAGGATAGACTACTTGCATGTGTGGTATGAGATTTTTAATGATCAGCTGAACCGACTTTTAAGTTTAAAGACTCAAATTATTCATTGATATTACCTAAGCGTTTTGTAAAAATTTAAACTAAAACATACTAAAATTAATATTTGAATAAGAACAATCACCTTCTTGTTGGTTTGATATCATATGAGAGAATAATAGACGTGCCAGCCATTGCAGGCCAAACTGGACCAGTGCAGGAGACCGGAGAAGAATCGAAATTCAGTATTTTTTACATACGCAGACTTCTAGACCTTAATATGTGTGAATCATTCCGCCATATCTTTAAAGTTTTCAAGTTAAGTTAATACAGTTTTAGTCAACAAAGCGATCGCGTCGTCTTCTTCTTTCCTCGTTTTCCCTTTATTAAATGTACAGAGGAGTTTACATTTGTTAAATGTATAGAAGAGGCTACAGTTAGTGGGTCGTAGGAGCAGAGAATATTCTTTTTATTATTATTTTATTGAAATTTTCTGCTATAGGAATATATAACATCAAGTTACTTGTGAAGTAGCTACCCATTGGTAACAGTTCAAAGATAAATTAATTTAGGAGGTCTCTAGGCCATCTTCTTTTCAGAAGCCTTGGAGGGTCGTCAGAAATTGTATTGTATGAAAGATTACGAACAAGAGGATTGGGGCGACCAAAGAGTATGGAATTAAGAGAGTTGAGAAAAAAATTAAATGTAATTTCAAACAAAATTGTTGTTAATTATTTTTCCTTTGTTTTACCAAGATTTTCAGCTGATTTTACAACAATTGATTTATCAGAAAAAATATTAAATATTGTGTTAAATGAATTATTATGTACAATTGTGGATCGATGGTAGACTGTAATGAATAATCGAACAGAAGAATGGTTGGGGTGATCAGTCAAAAAAAAAAAAAAAAAGTAAAAGCAAATGAGTATTTACATTTTCAGTATTTTTTTTCCTTAATGTATCATAAATTACTAAAACCAAAAGACACCTACAGTAAAGGAGCCCAAGTAAATTATTTATGAATATGCAAGTTAAAATTCGTTTAAAGTAACCTTCGAAAATCTTAAAACTAATTTTTATTTATGATTTTTTTAAAGAATTTCTTTTTTCCCGCTGATAAATAAAGCATTTATAACTTTTCAGGATTATATCAGAATTCAACGCTAGAATGACCATCGGAAAGATGAAATACTGCTCTTTAAACCCACACCGATAATTTTTTCTTTGGTTCTGTAAGTTATCTTTTATTATGATTTCAATAGGAAGAACGGTTTTGTACTATTTCGTATAACTTATACAGTCCTTAATCATGTTATTGTGAATCACTGGAAGCGTTTCTGAAGTTATCAAAAGATTTTTTTAATTTTGACAAAATTTCGCTGACCTCTAGCCAAGACAAAATTCTAATATTCTTTTTTCACACCTCGAAAAAACCCTTAAAAACGAATATTTAGAATGGGAAAATCTTGCCACGTTTTTAAGCATACATACTATATTGTCATATGCTATATGCATGCTATATGCTATATTTATCAGAATTATTTCGGTATTTTTTTTTTAATTAGCAGAGTAATCGCACCAGTGATTGATATAGCCCAGAAATTATTTGTATCATTTGGCTTATGACGCAACAATTATTATAGTTATAAACTTCCCCGCTGTACATTTTGAACCTCAAAGTCTCCTTTTTCTATTTAACAATTTAAAATTAAAAAATATTCAATTAAAAAAACTTTTTTTTTTGCACTAGTGATGGACACACCGAAATTCAATTATTCTAGTAATTGACAGGGCGTTATTTAACCATTAAGATAATGATAAAGATAAAGTAACATAAAAGTTCAAATTAATCTTTGCAAAACTGTTAGTATGAAGGTATGAAACACACTGATCTCAAGAGCACCATAGACACAACAATGATAGGCATTTTAAAATTTTTATTTAGAAGCTTTGTTCATACAGTTGTCAATAGAAGGGGGCATTGCTCTTCAGTCTAAAAAAAATGAAACTTTTTGAAAAAAACCTGTTCATCACTGAACCCCCTGTTCATAACTGGCGTTCACCCCAATTATTAATTCATTCATTTATTTTATATATTACCTCTTTCTTTTTGTTTTATTATTCATCCCTTATCTACATCATCAGTTTGGTAAATAACAGGATTTGAAATATATTATTACTTTTTCTATTAAGTAATATAACAATTATATTTGATTGTTAATTTAAAATCATGCCTTATTAAAAATAAAATAATCGCTGATAATTATTAATTAGATTACAAATAATGATCACTCACTGAGTGATACAGTTTTACATAAATAATAATGATTAAATTTTCCTAAAAAAAAAAGTATGTATACGTTTTATTATAATACACATTTTTTAATATTATGTTTCTGAAATCGCTAAAATTGTGCAGCGGTATCTGCACAATATATATGTATGTATATGTATATATATATATATATATATATACATATATACGTATATATATATACGTATATATACATATATACGTATATATATATCTACATATATATATATATATATATATATATATATATATATATATATATATATATATATATATATATATATATATATATCTAAATATTTTGTAAGACATGAATTTAAATGAAAAATCTAATGAATTTCTCTCAATTTAATTATCTCTTTTTTTAATTTCAAATCCTAATGAATAACTATATATACGATCGTTAAATAAATATATTAATCATAAAATAAAATAAATATAATAATAATAGATAAATAAATATATTAATATCCTACATATGCCCTCCATTTTCCCTTGACGATACACAGATTCCACAGACAGACACCGTTCACTACCTTGGTCTGACATTTGACAGAAAAATGACGTGGGGCCCACATATAATCAAAAAACGAAAAACTTTAAATCAAAGATTAAGAATTCTGAGTTCACTTCTTTCAAAAAATTCAAAACTAAAACTTAGACAGAAATTGAGCACATACAATTACTTACTAAAACCTATTTGGACTTACGCATCACAGATATTTGGAACTGGTAAAAAGACTCACTTAAACAAACTTCAAATCTTTCAAGCAAAAAAAATTCAGAACAATTACAAAAGCACCTTGGTACGTTAGCAACATAACCTTACATACTGACCTCCATATGCCGACTGTTAACGAACACATACGAACTCATTACAAACGATTCCATGACAACTTACAAGGACATACTAATACACTTATAAATGACATGGCCACTACGAATATGCCAGGTAACGTCTGTAGGTGGCTGAAAGCTCCTCTTCAGGATGAGGGACCTCCTCGCCTAAT